GGTGCTCTTGAAGTTGAAAATAGTCAATTATAGATAAACAAAAAAGCACAAAGCTTGCTTCAGGCACACCGACAGAGCCAAGGATATTATAAAATGCCTTTATTAATTAGGGCATGTCAATATAAAATAACTACGAAACGCCGACCGGTTTCGACCACACAGGGTCTTCGTCAGGGCGTCTCTTTCACGCCCTGATTAATAAAGGCATTTTATAATAACCTTGGCTCTGTCGGTGTGCCTGAAGCAAGCTTTGTGCTTTTTTGTTTTTCTACATTTTTGGCATTTTGAGTACCTCAAAGCGCCAAAAATACATTTGAAAAACCCAAAAGCAATGTCTCTTCAATCCACTTCAATCCACAGACCTTGTTGTGAGCAGTTTAATGTAGGAACTATTTTCTTGCTACCGAACTACACCCATATCACCGCACAGAATAAAGCATGCTAGCTCACCTAGCACCACTGAGCTAGCAAACGAGGACGGCATTAATGTTTCCATCTCTCACTGTCACAAGCATGAGCCTCTTGTCCATGAGTAGATGCACGCTTCCTCCTGTGCAGCGATACAGTTGGTTGGTGTAGTTTGGTAGCAAGAAAATAGTTCCTACATGAAACTGCTCACAGCAAAGTCTGTGGATTATCTTGAGTAATCTCGGGTCATGATTTTCTCTGGATTAAAAAAAAAGAAGCAATGTCTTTTCAATCCACTTCAATCCACAGACCTTGTTGTGGGCGATTTCGTGTAGGAACTATTTTCTTTGTATCGAACTACATCCGTTTCACTGCACAGAATAAAGCGTGCATCTACTGCTAGCTCACCTAGCACCACAGAGGTAGCAAACCTTACAGCTCAGTCAAGGAGGACGCCATTAATTTTTACATCTCTCACTGTCACAAGCACGAGCCTCTCGTCCATGAGTAGATGCACACTTCCTTCTGCGCAGAAATACGGTTGGCCGGTGTAGTTTGGTAGCAAGAAAATAGTTCCTACATGAAACAGCTCACAACAAGGTCTGTGGATTATCTTGGATAACCGGGTCATGATTTCTGGACAGAGACATTGCTGTTGAGTTTTTCAAATGTATTTTTGGCACTTTGAGCACCACAAGCCGAGTGCCATCTAGTTCCATTATACTGTAGAGAAGGCAGACATCTCTACGGTCGATATCTCCAACACTCTGCAACTCAAACCAAAACAATCTGATAAGCAGCACTACAGGTAAGAGGAAAAGTATGTATATTTTATCTGGGGTGAACTATCCCTCTAAGGCACTTATAATCCAGGACTGCCCTTCCGCAGTGGTTTACTATTATTTATAATATTACTGGATCTGTATTATTGATGCATTACCACGTTAGCAGCTGGTCAAGGTGAAGCTACTTCATGCATTATTGGGTAGTTTCACCTATAACTGTCAGATAAATATGGTGAAGTGAAATTTACAATATTTTCCTCTGAAATAGCAGGAAAGTAGAAAGTGACCTTAGTTAATTAGATAACACCTCCACTAGAAGGAGAACTGCAGGTGATCATTACTCTTCTGCTATATATCACTGCAGACTGAGGCAACACTGGACCGTGCAGCAGGAATGGCACCCCAGTCATATTGCTCATTGAGCTCTCAGAGCCACAGGACGAGCTGCAGCTTTGATATAAATGGATTTCTCCACGCCCGTCTGGCCGTGATGCACCATTTAAAGGGGAGAATAAACCGGGGATCTTCCTGGGCATCATGAGCCTATTATAATGCTGTCACCCCTCGAAGCTTTCCCCAATATCCAGTTCCACTTTCCTACCGGGATCAAAAGAGTGGAGGAAGTAAAGAAGGCGAATAAAAGGGAGAAAGGTTACTGCTGGTCAATGGTGCTGTAACGGGGTTCACTCCCAGCAATGTAAGTGCCTCACCATCTGTTATTTTGTGGCATCCACAAAACACATTTTCTGAGATTATGCAGTTTTGATTGTGTTTCTTTTGGCATAGGTGTTTCGGGCTGTTGTGGGTGATGTTTTTCAGATAATTACAAGCGTAATTAACTTCTCTGGCCTACAGTGCTCACCCAAAATGTGGGATGATAGGGGTGAGGCGTTGCACTCACTGTGATTGTCTCCCAGTCTTTTGGGAAACACAAATTGAGCTCTAATATATTTTAAATCAGTTAAGAAAGTAATTGTGGATTTTGACGTGTGCATGCAAACACACACACAATCAAGCACCCCTCGTAGTGAATTTCATTAGTTGACTGTTTTCCTCCAATAAGTGGGCTAAATACGGACTGTGTCATTGGCTTCCGTGGCTGAATAGTTTGCGGACCCAGCTGGTCACTCACGAGGGAGAGAATTAAAGGCTAAAAATGGAAGCAATTTTCTTCCAAGATTAGCCTGTGAGGAAACTAAGAAAGATGAGTTTAATGAAGCTTTATATCACTAAATTTACCCATTCAGTGGTTTGGCAGTGGATTCCTTCCAAATCGTTATTTGCTGTTAAAGTCTTTTAAGTTTTGATTAACATACGGGCCTGCAATTACTTTACACAAGAGCAGGAAACGAAAGAGGGAAAGCAACATGAGGAAGAGAAAGAGAGTGTGACACATTTCTTGCACAGTGCAGAAATAATCCACAGAGAAGACATTGGTATTGTGGTATTAATAAAAACACTGCTAATCATTTATGTGTATGTTTCTCTATGATTATTCTCAGGCTGCTGAAAGGATGGAGAAAATGTAAACCACTGCTGTTTATGGACTCTCCCATTGTTTACTAAAGAGAGCCATCTACTGGAGAACTACCTATATTAAACTATATTCAAATCAATGTATGTTTGCATTGATTTTTGCATTTCTAATTATAATTCCTTATAGAAAAATAACTGTAGGATCACTGACTTAATTCTCTCTGCAACAGCAGAGACAGAATATACAGTGCTTTCAGTCAAGGCTTCATGGTCCTTGCCCCCCAAATCCATAGTCTTTGTTTAGCCATTACTCACACTCAAACGTTTGGATAAGTGGCTTTATGTTCCTGCGAGTCCATTAACTGGCCCACAATACCCTTGGCTCCTGGTTTTTCTAATAAAATGAAGAATGAAGGATTGGCAGTTTGCAATAGCAGAAGTGACAGCAAACAGTAGTGTGAAGGTCACTTTGATGGAAATGTGTTGTAACACACTTGTAACCTGAAAGTCATACATGGTGCACATCATTCTGTTCTGGTAATGGCCAATTTCATGTAATTTGTCAGTGCTTTCAGGGTCCAAGACGACAATCCCATGTACTGCTATATGACTTTCATCCATGTTGCCATAACAGCCATTTGGCTATTAAACAGCCTTGACACAGACGGAGCTGGAGAGCATACGGCCTGTTAAATGTTACAAACATGACAACACATGGAGTCCTTATGATTCAGGCAGTGTTTCTCCCACCGTCACAGTTTTTGTCTCAATTCAATTGTGAAGCTACAAAAACAATTCATCACATATATACTGTTGCCCCTCTTTTTCCCTCTGGCTCATTTCCCCAAACTATTTTGGATCTAGTGCCAATGCAGTTGGTGATGTGTTTGGAAAAATAAGCATCTTTTCAAGGTGATGATGACCCTCACAGAGAAAAAGGAAGGGAAGCCTCTGAAATCCTATTACCCAGAGATATTTTATTGCCATCAGCAGTGCTGGCCCATCGGCAGCACACAGCAACTGTTTCCAACAATTGCTCCCACACTAATTCTATCGCTGTTGCCAGACTTGCCCAGGGTGTGGACATTAAACTCAATTTTCATCTTAAAGTGATTGCATCACAGCTGACAATGCAATTGAGGTAATGTGGGCGTTCAGGTAGAAATGCCACGATAAGAGGAAACAAAATTTGCATGAATCACACAAAAGAAGCAAAACTTTCATTCCATTTATACATGTAAGGCATGTCCTCATTTTGTGACTATCTAAAAAATTAGAATACGTAGGAGTTAAAAGTTTTAATTTAAGGATTAAAAATCTTGAGGACACACTGGTCTTGGCAAAGGCAGATCTATCCAGAGAGAGGAAGGGAAGGAAATGATACCAAATACATGAATAATGAATAATGAATAAATCAGTATTGGATACTTTAAGTTAAAAGGGATCTGCTCAGTGATGAAAGCAGCTATGAGGGAGGATGACAAAGATACTACAGAGTCTCCTCAAGGTGTTGTATTTTCCTCCAACATGCTCACAATGTTTCTATATACAAAGAGACTCAATGTAAAGGGGCAATTAGATGATGTGATCCTTGAATATCCTCTTAGAGTTTGTGTAAAAATAATTTCTGAGTCACTAATTGTCATAGTGGTGTGGTGTACTACAGTATAAGACTGGGTGAAAAGGCCGCAATGACTCAGATCACCTCTGAGGTTTCTGTTAAAATATAGAGTAGAGAATGGATCACATATTCAATGTGAATGCTACGAGGGGTAAAGAGGGTCTACTCATCATCGTGATAAAGATCCACATCTGCAGGAGTATGTTTCTGACAAAATCCAACAGAGTAGGTGTCTGTTTTGAATGTGCTACAGTAACTACTATTCAGAGTTGTGTTCACAATACCTTGAAAAACATTGATATCTGATCCCATTATTAATACCACCAGGAAAACTGACAATAAGGGCATGCAAATTATTTTTTTTAAGATAAATATAACATGATGATAGGGAAAACCCACATCTGGTTATTTGCGCTAGCTTGACTTGTGGGTAGAAACAATGGCGGAGTCAAGACGTAGTCAGGCATGTAGCGTTCCTTATCGCTCAAATTCAAATAAGAAACAGCCGTATTTGTCATTGTCATCATTCATTGTGGGAATATGATGGTGTTAAGTATAGCAGGAGAACACATTTGTAAATTGGAACTACAAATTGCCGGTAAATAAAACTTCAAAAAGCGGAATTATTTCAGAAATCCATTTAAAAATGTATTTGTTTATTCAGCATTTAAAGACAATATAATGAAAAAGTATTGTTAATGGTGCAAATATGTTTTTTTAACTGTGACATTTTCGGCAGATACAAAAAAAAAAAAAAATCACTGAATAAATTGCTATTTAAAAGTATTAATTAAGTTTAAACCTATTATTTAACAATAAAAGCTTCAAATAATCCGAATGGCACACTCTTTTGTCCTTAAAAACAAGGTGCTGTGATATTATATAGTATCAGTGTCTCATACAGATATAATATGGTTTAACTGAAATGTTTAAAAGCAAAATCATAGCGTCCAACTTAAATAATTAAAAACTCAGAGTGTGTCCCAGAAATACTGTGGGTTCAGTAATCTCGACCGAAATGCTTGTTGACTTTGCCGACAGTCAAACACACGACTAAACTGATGAGGACACACTGCTTCTGTTCCTTCAACCAAACGAGTTTCATCTTAACCTGACCGTCTGAGTCCTGATAGTGGATCAGGAAGTGCTCACCATCATAGTCATAGGAGACAGGTCTCTCCTCTGGCTCCATGGAAACAGGAGAGCCGACACACCAGAAGGGTTTCTTGAATTCGTCCAGCAGAGTGAGGCTCATGATGCAGCAGTTCTGGTAAAGAGTAGAGACATAAACAAATGTCAAGACCTGGAAGTATGGATACTTCTGGAAAAAGTCAGAACTGTCCAAATTCATGAGAAAAGGAGAGATAACAACTGTATTCTCCTTCGCCCTGAGAAAAGAGGGAGACATTCTAAAATTAACTTCTTCACAGATCTGTGAACATTCACAATGAAACATGTCCCTGTTTTTCTGCACTTTTTACCACTTGTCCACAACCTACTTAAGATGTTACGGCCATGCTTTTTTTTGCTCTTACAAAACACAGTGAGTGTGTGAGTAGCCAGCAGCACACGTTGTACCTCCACTGCGCCCTGCAGGGCCTCACACCTCCAGGAAAGCTTGATGTTGCCAGACAAAGGTGTGTGCTGGGACAGGCTTGTCCCGCTAATGGCCGTCAGCTGGATTAGGCCGTCATGGATCTGAGCTGGTCAGAGACAACAACACACGACAAGTACGTCTTCACACTAGAGTTAGATTACTTGATTAGTTAAGGCTAAAATCATGAAAATAAAGCATTTAGTCATTTTAAAAACATGGTAATTAGGACTGCAACTAATGATCATCTGTCATTTATTTTTCTTGATTAATGGATTAGTTGTTTGGTCTATAAAATGTCAGAAAATGGTAAAGAAAATGTCAATCAGTGTTTCCCTAAGCCCAAGATGACATCCTCACTCAAGGATATTCTGTTTACTGTCATACAGAAGTTAAAAGAATCAAAAAAATTTGAACTTTTGTCTCTAAAAAAATTGCTCAAACCAACAAATCAATTGTCAAATTAGTTTGGATTAATTAAATAGTTGACAACTAATCAATTAATAGTTGCAGATTTAATGCTTATCACATAAGATGATTGAAAACATTATAATGTTACTTGGATTTCAATCTACAAGCTATATAATTATCTTTGAATGCAAGCAATTTCTGAGTGAATATGGCTAGTAAAGTGTTTTTACAATTATTGTTCATACAATATTTGCAAAAATGCAGGTAAACTCTTGAGACTGTGCTAAAAAGCTAGTGTGCAATAAAAAATATCTAAAATATCTAAAATCTAAAATATGTGATATAAAATACTGTGTGTATTAGTCTTGTGTGTATGACCTGCTGTGCAGTTTGTGTATTTGTATGTAGAAATGTAAAACATGACATTTGGACTTTTTTAACCTTTTGCATTTATAATTCATTATTATCTGCTGCAATATTCTGTGCAATTATTCAACTGTGCAATATGTTTCACCTCTTGAATGTGTATATTCATTCAACATATGCATGTAACTGTACATATTTATTATGTTTACTCTAATTCTATTGTTTTATTCTACTGATGTATATATTGTAGTTAAATTTTCATTTACAGCCTCAGCACAGTGGCAATTTTTATTTTATTCTAATTTCTTATATCTTAAGTACTAGTGTTAAACATAATGCACAATTATTTTTATTTTAATGCACATTTAATTTCTATTTCATTTTATCTTATTGCATTATATTTACATTGGTTCATTTCATAATCTTATACTTCTTCTAATTCTCTATTCTTTACATCTGAGCAACTGTGATGAATCATACCTTCCCTCAGGGATAAATAAAGTATTTCTGATTGTGAAAACGTACATATTTCACAGTTGTAAGGAAAACTAAAAATATGCAGTATGAGAAAAAAGACTAAGCAAATTAATTCTTGACACTTTACATTTTAAGGTTAACTCTCATGTGAATCACACCTCCTCCAATCAAAAAGACTGGAGTTTTTAAAATGACCTCTGCAGTACAGCAGGCTGTGTGACTTTGTGAAAATGACTATAAATAAATTACTTCTCCGGCAGAAGAGCTGGGAGAAGCTTCCGGACATGATCTCGCATACGGCGTCGTGGAGGACGATGTGTAGCTGGTAACCATGGAGACCGTATTCTGGGTCTATGTCATCAAGAGGGGGTTTATCCATTGGCTCCACATAGGGGCTGGAGGAGGAAACAAGAAAATAAAAAAGGTAAATGAAACTAAGGCTGCGCTGAGAGAGGAGAGCATTGAGAGAAAGGAATTTCATTAAGAAGGCATTTTGGGGGTTTATTAATTTGTGGACTGTAATCATGGTGTGCTGAAAACAATGTGTTCTCACAAGAAACCAGGAGAGGGGGCTGTCTACACACTCTGCTGAAGTCCGAGGCTCACAAAAGGTGGAGCAGACTCAACGGTGCTGTGTAGGCCTGCTCTCCTCTCAGATGATGAGTGAAGCACCTCCAAGACTATACAGCAACTCCAATACTAAATAACTTTTTTTATTTTCCAGATGCATGGAAAGTAAAATGTGTACACACAACATTCGTGGCTCATGACCCCATAAAATAACTTGTGACCCCTCTTCTCAGGATTTGAGAGGCCTACGGAGTGACAATATTCAGTGATTTACAAGAAGGAAAATTAGAAAAAGTACAGACTGTTTTGTTAAATATTTGACTGTGTTAACCCTTCATTTTTGTCCGAGGCCCTTTGAATGTTCCTAAACCCTGTATTAGCAACCACTGATCTAGCCCAGGCTTTACATAATTGTGATCGAATCATTTTAATTCAAACTCAACACTACAGAAGAAAATTTAATTACACTCTCTCTGTTTTAAGCTCTGCTAATGAGTGAATTCAATTACCTGCAGTTAACACCTGCACTGTGTCCTCATGGCAATGGATAAAAAACCCGTATCTGGTCCTGACACATGACAAGGAGAACATTTTATACACAAAAATGTGGTGCAGTCACATCACCCTCTGTGCTGGTGATATACAGGTGCCAGTGATGCTGCTGACGCTTCAAATCTCACCTTGCTGCGCATCATAGATGGGTCACATCAGGGGCATCAAATGAACTGCATCGACCGAATCTGAGCCCTAACCATCTGATGGTGATACACTGCACGCCACGTAAGCATGTGAATAAAAAGGTGCCTGTTCAAGTGCAGCCTACCTAACAGAAGACCCCTGGGTGCTTCTTTCCAGCAGCTTGTGGAAGTGGAGGGTGAGCATGACAAAGGCAACAGAGCACTGGTCCTGCAAAGAGAGCAATCACTTTAAATGCTTGAAAATTCTCGTCTTTTATTTTTCAGCTATTAAAGCTAATAATAAGCTAAAAATGGCCGCCTGTTAAGTAATTACCTTCCACACACCGATAATTATGCCAGGCTGCAGCAGCTTCAATTCAACCACTCGGTCCTGGCCAATGACCTGCGCACTTTCAGTTAGAGCCCGCATGTCTAACGTCGACATGAGGGACCTCCAGCCAGGGCTGACAGAGCAAGCAAAGAAAATAACAGGCTTCAGTGAGAGAAAAGAGGAAACAGAGACATAAGGAAAGAGCGGAGATGGATGCCGGCTGTCTCACTTCTTCAAACCGGGGCAGTCGAGGTCTATCCTCCTGACGCCGTGGAGTTGAAGGGTGGAAATCTGCTGGTAGCTGGGCAAGCAGCCTCCTCCGCTCCAGCACACAGTCACAGAAGTCTCGCAGAAGTGGGACCAGCTCGGCTCGAATGTGACCTCACGGCCTGACTTATCGGAGACCGTTAGCTCCCAGGTGACGTGCAAGTTCCTAGAATAAGAGGCAGAATTATAGCACGAAAGACATGACAGATATTTGGCGATAAAAGCCTGTACATTTGTTTGTGTGCAGTGTGGTGGCGGGAAGCTGAAATTAAGAGGCTTCCTACTTTATAAACAGGGAGATAAGTCACTTAGTATTCCCTGATAGCTATATGAAGACAGAAATCAACCTTCAAACATTTATTTTAAGTCAACATGACGCAAATAATTGGGCAGTGTCGACTCATGCTCTTTAAATCAGCCCAACTATGAGTTTAATGGCTGTAACGTTTCTTTTGACAGCAGTAGGGAGTAGTATGACTCCAGTTAAGCTGCTCTTGCTAATGAAATGATATGCAACGAGTGAAATGAAACCGCAGCTGTTGTGATAAATCTCTTGATCCAATTCTGTCTAAACTGTGATTCAGTGCTGCCCCTACTGTGATGCAGCCGGTGTCTCGCTGAGGCACCATCCAATATCAATTAAGTGGAGAAACAAAGCTAAAAACTGGAGCAGCCCAGGAGGCCCCAGATGACCCAGGGGATTTCGCTCTGCATTGTCTGTGTGTGTGATGTCTTGTGAAATGATTATTACCAAGGTAAATCGCATGCTCCTCAGAGTCTCTAACAGACAAACCCCCCACAGGGAATTGTCTGAGCTGGTGGGAGGCGGGAGGAAGGGGGAAGGTGTGTGTGCATGAGTGTGTGGGTGTGGGTATGTTGTGGAAGAGGAGTTGGGGGGCTAAGTAATTTATTTCAACAATTCAGGCAGCCTTTGCGAGGAACACAATTATTTCTACTTCCCCTCTGTACCACAGCGACTGCCACAGAACTCAAAATTGAGTGCTGCACAGCCTCTAATCAGAGGTTATAAAAACACAGCAGAAACCGCGGTGGAGGCGATGAGGGAGCTTTCCCCTGCGTGCTGGCATCCCCCTGAGCAGACATCTCGCTCAGACAGAGACCTCCTTTCTCACCTTTAATAAGAAAGTGTCATTAAGTGCGATATGAAAAACAAACCACGCTTTGTTTTTGATAGCCGGCGGCTTGAACTGTCCTCTAGTCTCTACCCTTGAACTTTCTTGACAGCGACTCAGGTGGATCTCTAAAGTTTTAGTGTTTGCTAACCACAAACAGGGCAGGGGTTCCCATGATACCTCACAGAGCTGCTTCCCATTGTTAAAACAGCTAGACATACCAAACAGATGGCAGATTAAGGCGTGGTATACAAACTGATATACAAAATGATAAACACACCTCCTTTTGGTTGAAATAAAGTAAAGCAGCAAACTGTAAAATATAAAACTAATTGACATAAGGATTACCAGAGAAATAATGAGACCTTTTTTTCTCACCTGAGGGATTCAAATGTTTGAAAAAAAAACAAAAAAAAACACGGTAAGCACTACTTACAAACAACACTTGCCGGGCTACTCAAGTGTATGCAGAATGAAATCAAGTGTCCGGTACATTAAACAAATCATACACCTCAGGTACTTCATCTAAGTGCCTTTCAAGAGCAGTTTCTGCCTCTCTCTGTCTCTTACCTGAGGACCCGCTCTGTTTGGCCGGGCAGCCCAGTGTGACGGCTGATGAGTCCAAGATGTCTTTTCCACTCGTCCATGTCACATGCGGCTACAGTCTTGAAGTGCAGCCACTTCCAGTAGCCTGCAGCCCGATCCTGCACCTCCACTGTGGCCATCTTCAGCAGCAGCTCGTCCGTGCACTTCGATTTCCGCTTTCTGCGCTTGCCGAACTCTGCCATGTGTATCTTCTTCCACAGAGCACTGCATGGATGGTACAGAGAGGTGAGAGGTTGCTGTGAGTAATAATAAAATGATTAAATGGTGTCAAATATGTCTGATGTGCTAATTTGTGACAGGTCTTTCATTCTAAGACAACGGAAAATGCAACTGATTTGTCCTTGAATGTACCCTCCTTATTCCTCGCCCCCATTATACCTTGCGTGAATTATGAGAGTAACTTCCGGCGTTGAACCGAAATCGGCGATGTCTAGTGGTAACAGTTTGTTTACAGTACTCTATTCTTCTTTTCAAGAGCAGCTGGGAAATAAAACGTGGAACACACTACCTGTTATAGCTCAAACAGGATTATGTGATCATACCTCTGCCACCTCTGACAGCCATCTCAAAGCACTGTTAGCACGCTAGTAATTTAACTTTAACATGTCCTGAGCTAGCTTAAGGTAAACATCTGCTCCTTCTAAAGATGATTTTGATTTCTGATGACTTATTAAGACATACTAACACATTCGGCAAACATTTAATATAATTCAGTATTAACTGTAGCTCCATGTTAAGTGAACAAATGTGATGTTTCCCAGCTAGTCCTCCGCTCGTCTACGTTAACAATGCAGTTTACACGTTTTTTTAACTTCTGATTTATTAAAAACTGTTCTGAGTGAAACATGAAGCTGAATTTAGCAGCAAACAGGTAAAAGAAACAACTTTTATCATTCATTTTTTATATGATATAAAGGAAGTACGGTAAATCAGTAACACATTCTCAGCCCTAATGTCAGACGGGGAAAGACACGGATATCATGTAGTGACGATGAGTGACGGACGCGTCAGTCTAGGTGTCATTCTCCTCTGCAAAGTCTGATTTAATACTTTTTCGCTATGTCTTGTGAAAGTCTTGTGGTTTTACTTCTCATATCAGTGGTACCTTTGGCAACAGGAACAATCCCTTTTTGTTGTGGTTACATGTTCAACACACAGTTGCTTAAGACAAAGATTTAGTTTAGACTGGTTGTTAGTCGTTACAGACGCGGACAGTGCAACAGGTACTAAAGCTCCACAAAGACATTTCAACATTAGTTAAATCTTTGCTAAAAAATAAATCAGTATTTGCTAAACTGATGGCAAATTACTTTCCAAAAAAATCAGCATTAGCCGTTAGCCACCAAGAGTAGCCACTGGGACTAACCACAGACAGTCTATGGGACTAACTAGCTTACTGCTACTTCCACTATCTCACTGGAAGTTACGCCTATAATCGTTTCTACAGTAGTGCCCTCAGGAATAAGGTGGATATGTTCTGATAAAGCTTACCAGTCTTTAGGTTTCATGGAAGCTTCTATGTGACTTTATATGTTTTACGAGCCATAAACGCAGATATTCTTAGAAAAAGCAGCAGTTTTCTTACAGTCAGTTTGCTTTTTATCACTAGTTTCAGTTTGCTTTACACTGTTTTCCATCATAGTGAATTATAGTGTTTTCTGCAGGCTGCACAAATTACAACCTGTCAGGACGTTTGAACGTTCGTCTCTGTTGTTAAGAATCATTACTCATGACAGTTTACGATAACCACTAGTTTTGATACTGCCTGATATGTAGGAGCAAAAAGTACAACATTGTGGAGTGAAGCAACACAGCAATCAGTGTTACTAATACCTAATCACACTCTTCCTTATGGGATGTCGTGTCCAGTTTTCCGAATTTAAGTGGACATGAAAACAGCCTCCCAAAAACAAGTCTCTGTACAGTTTATATTATATATATAGATTCTAGTTTCTATATTATTTTCTAACAAGTCAGTTCATGTTGGACGCCTTTAAGTGAGCCATCTGTGGTGAAGGACAATAAGGTTGCCAGACTGCTTGTCGACAAAAGAGCTGTCACGTTGCAAAAAACACTCCATCTAACCCAGTCACTGCTGTTGAAACTGAATCCAAAACTATCCATTAAAAGAAGTGAACTCATCTGGCGATGCCGAGAGTATTTTTTAAGGCTGAACTGAACAGTTTGTATCTTCGATGCATCATTCATAACGTTGACATTTGAATTCTAAATCAACATTTGAATGCTGCACAGCTGCACAGTTGCAGAAAAAAAGATTAAGCTTCACTATTATTACTGGTATTATGCTATTAGTAGAATTTGATTCCAGTGGTGGCTGCGTAGGATTGTTTTGAGACTTCTGAGCGCTGTAAAGTCCAAAAGTAGAAAAATAATTGAAAAAAGATTGATGTAATCCTTCCCAGAATTCACAGCATGCTTTTATCTAATTAAATATTCTGCTTCAATCCATTTTTTGTTGATGTTTCACCTTTCAAAAACAGTTTCAAAATAGTTTGCTCTCCAACTGGCTGCACACACAGCGGGGCATGGACCTGTATTAAAAGGGTGGTCTAACAACAATCTAACAGCACCATAAATTACATTTATTCATTAAAGGAAGCTGATTTATACAAAGAAAAGACTTATTCATTTAATCTGCTGAATCACTTTATTGAAATTGAGCATTCTGTTTGAGGATTTTTTTTATTTTTTAGGGTGGTAACGTCATAAAATATGACAACAGACCATTAAAACCTTCATTTTAAAACATCAAAAGCTTTAAATGTCAAAAAAGGACATTTGGTATTATTTTTCCAACTTATTTTCAGTAAAGTAGACTGTTTTCAATAATTTTCAAAAGAAATTTGTGTCTTTCTCTTGAGATAAATAAGAATAGTGGAGGCCTAAAACTAAAATTAAAATAAATGAAACTTGTTTTCACAAATACTTGAAACATTTGGATCTTTACTGAAGACAGGATGAATAAGTGTTACTCCACCAGAGCTGAAATGATTAACTGAGGAAAATAAAATCAACAATTCTGAGAACCAATTAATCACTCAAGTCGTGATTTAAACAAAAATGCAAAAATATTCACTGCTTTCAGCTTCTAAAATATGAATATTTTGAGGTTTGGTTTGTTGGTCACCTTGAAGTCTGGGAAACTATAATAAGCAGTTTTTACTATTTTAGATGAAACAATTAATTGAGAAAATAATTGGCAAAATAATTCAGTTCAATAAAGCCCAATATCACAGATTACAATTTGCTTCAGAGGGCTTTACAGCATACGACATCCATCTGTCCTTGGACCCTCACAGCAAAATAATCTATGGTAATTTTTTTTTTTTTTTACAGCACCAGAAGATTTTTTTATTTGACTCAAGTAAATAAGACATAATAACTTGACAAGAAAGAGATTTTTCTGCAGTGAAGTGTAGATAAATCCCCTGACTTGTAAGCTCTCTTTACCTACTTTTGGGTTGGATCCCTGAAACACTCATGTATTTAACGTACTGCCCGTGCTGCATTAACAAGACCTGGCTGATACTTACTGATCATTGGCGAGCTGATAGAAGAGCTTATTGACGTGGCTGACGGTATGAAGAGCGGAGGCATCAAGGTATGACAGAATCTTAATCAGGATGTGAGATGGCAGTCTACGGGAAAAAAGGTAATTAGACATCACTACAAGGAAGCGACACCAGTGTTTCCATGCCACCTGTTGTTCAGCACACAGTTCTTTAGAGGCACTGGTGCATGAGACAAATGTGCTCTCGACAGGCTTCTTGGCAATCCAACCACACACTTCTGGCAACAAAATAAAATGACCTGCGCTGGTGTTCTCATTAAGTAGATTTGGTATTAAAAAACAACAACATTCAAATACACTTAGACCACAAAACAGCAGAAGAAGGTGTTACATCCTGAAAGACACACAGTTGTTCTGACACATTTGCTCAGATAGTGTGAGGCAGACCCATTCTCAACTCTTAAGTGAAGTATTTAGATACACACAAAAAAAGCTGAAAAAAGTTGTGAAAAGATGCTGTCCATATCTGTCATGGAGATATATCGATCCAGTTTGCCCGGTTGCACCCGTTCTGCTTAAAGATGCCAATTCCATTCAATTTAATCTCTTGATTAAGGAATATATTGGTGTTCATATCACCTGCCTGCTCAATCACTGACAGTCCACTGCATATCAAACACAAACCACATGAAACAACTTCAGAAACCAGACACAACATGAATAAAACATATTTAGCCTGTATTCAAGCTTTAAAATTCAAATCACTCAATTAGTTAACCTCTCATTGGCATTTGGAGCTGTCAGCATATACAGAGATACTGGTCTGAGTCTGTTTTATTTCTAAAAGTTTGAAAAGGGGAAAGGATGAATGGTAGAGTTGATGACATCCAACACAAGTCGTAAGTTATAGTATGTCCACAATACTGCCGAAAAATGTCACATAAAAGTCGACATTTTGTCTTCTTAAAAGTCTAGGATTAAGAGGAATATATGAAAATAAGAATTGTTGTGTTTTTGTTACCTTAAAATGACCCGTTTATATCAGCACAAGGAGCACGTCCTTGTCTGCAAAGTTTGCCATGTTTCTACAGTAGCCCAGAATGGACAAACCAAACACTGGCTCTCAGGGATGCACAATATTGGATTTTTTGCTGATATGCTGATATGTAACAACTCATTTGACTGGTGACTGATACTAATTGCAATATATCCACTTTTGTCCCTGCCTAATGTTACTGATCATCAGGTCTCTTATGTAGTGGAATTAACATCACATCATGCATGCATACTCTTATCGTGATGGCCCAACATTAGACAGAGACATGAAATACAATACTTTTCGATTTAATGTATTACTCATTCATTATGCCAAATAAGAAAAAGCGTTTTGGCAGCTTCTGATATTCTGATACTGATGACATACTGATATTATCAACACGTTGCCGATCACGATATTTCATTTTAATGCAATATCGACTTATATGTGCCAATATTATCATGCAACCCTACTAGCTTCAGATAGATATTCATGTTTCTGCATCAGCCACTGCAGTTGGCAGCCCCTTCGCGATAAGAAGTGTCTGAAAAACACTTTTTTTTTTAAATGTAAAACTGCTTTATTCTGTGTTTTTCCCGGTTTAAATCACCAGGTCCATTTGTGTTGGAGAGGAAGAGACCTCTGCTGATAATTCTGCTCCCGCTATAAACCTCCTGAACAATAAAACTATAGTCAGTATCTAACCAGGAGAAGTTTCAACTGGTTGTAATCCACACTGTTATAGGCCACTAGATCCCCCCCAAACCTTACACAGTGGGCTTTTAAACCAGTGCCTACTGAGTCCAAAATTCCCACTGAGGCCACCTATGATTTAAAAAAATTTTAAGGACAGATAATTGCTTGAAAAGATTTTATTTCTATACTATCCATAGGCTTATATCCACATCACTCATGCTGAATAGGCTAGCTGTGAAACGAATGGCTGATTAATCAATTAGGGGATGAACAGGGAAAGAAATCTGTAAAATTGTTTTATATTTTATTCACAGTTTACCTCAATTATGAGTCAAAAATACGAAATATTGTCTGGTTTTATCTTCTCACACATGAGGATTTGCTTTTTGTTATGTAACAGCAAACTGAATATCTCTTGGTTTTAGAGTACTGGTCGGACAAAATAAGCAATCTGAACACTTCACTTTGGGCTTAGGGAAACTGGGACAAGCAAAATTCACTTTTTCTTTACTGAAATTCATTGTTACTTACATCCCTAATCTAAACTACATATTTACGATAACGTGTCAAGCATTTTTAGGGTGGTTTAGTCAGGTGTATGCATTGCTTTAGGTATAATGTTCCAGCAAACTGTGAGCAATTTTTAAAAAGGGATTGGGTAATGTGAGCATAATGAGGTCTTGAGACACAGTTTCTAAAAGAAAAAAATAAATTTAAAAAGTGCTTTGTGTGCATGGTAAAACAATAACCCTGCTAAATATGAATATTTATCTGCTTTAACAGCATTACACCCTTGTTTTGCAGTTCACACATAAGCCTCAGTGGTGCTGAGGCAAACAGTTGTATGCTGACTGGTGTTTCATTGCTGTATTTACTGCCTCCATTCAATGGGGAGAGAATCAGATTGCTTAATATGAACACGTGAGGTGTCTTCCACCTGTATTGATTTCTGCTGTGCTTTTATTGTGTTTTGCCGCAAACAAACACGGTCTATAAATCCTTTTACTTACAGGGCCAATAAAGCCTTGACTCGCCACAGTGTGTGAACACTGGCTGTCTGAGGTGTTGATGTCACGCAGGTGGAAATATGAGCATGTTCTGATGGATTACCTTCCCACAAAGTTCAGAGATGATTCGTCAGCTCTTTTGGTCGTCCTCACTGCCCGTACTCTGGAGGAGACTGCTTTTTGTGCCGACATTTGTTTCACTGGTCTTGACCCCTCTGAGTCAGACACAAGGTAATTTATGTTTGAAGGGACGTTGAAGCCGTGTAACGTTTAGTTTGCGTACAGGCTGCGGAGTAAAACAAAGAAATACACTTCCGTTACTACGTAAACTCCGTAACTTAGCTTTAAAAAATAGCGCGTCTCCCTTTTTGTCGCCACTTCGTGTAAAAGAAAAACTGTGTTTCTAAACTGTCCGCGTTCGGTTCTGTCACCATGGTAACGTCCGGTCAACTTCCTTCCACGTGCAGAAATAAATCTTCCGGTGGGAAGTGGCGACATTACCCTTCAAAATAAAAGCAGGTAAACTTTTTATTTCAATCATAGACTGTAAATTCTGTAATATTTTAAAGTACACATTTTTTCTTTGATTAAATTAAAAATAATCTGTTTGATTGTGGTTTAATAACTCGGTTCAGTTTCTGTAGTGTTGCTGTGGTTTTAAAGGTGTTGAATAAAATAAGGGACTAAAAAGAGGCAGATTTAAAACAAATTGTTTAAAACAATAGCAGAAGATATGTTAAATTTCAGTTTCTAGTATGTGTCAACCTCTTTAAGCAGTGGATCCTACATTTCCCATAGTGCAACCTGATGTGCCCATAATAAGACAGTCCCTGCCTTGGTGGAAAAAAATCCCTTATAACTTTTTACCCCAGTTTTTATTGCAAACTTCCTATTTTAAATTTGCAGAATCTATTTTTTGTGTAATTTAGGCGAAGATGACAATGAGGTTCACTTCCTGTTTTACTGTCCTGTACATGAAGACATAAGGAATGTACTTCTCAGTAAGATGACTTTTATCTATGTTGATTTCTTTTGGTTGGATGATCATGAAAAATGTGAGTTTTGTTGTAGAAAGGGAACTTTTTTGTGGCTGAATATCTTCTCCAGGCCTGGGATAGAAGGCAGAGTATTCTGTTTCTGGACTGAGGAGTTAAATGACATGCGCTTTAGATTGTTACTGCAACGTCATTGCAATGGTGTCTTGTAAACCCACGAGAGTTGGGCACAGTGTTCGTGACAAATAAAAATCAATCAATCATGTAGACTCAGAGCCTACGCTGACATAACTCATATGACATAGGCCGAATCAAGGTTATTTTCTCAGACTTGACAAACTCTTCCAGAGCCCCAGAAGACATTATGCAAGCGTTTTAATAGGCGGAGTATTAAAGGAATACTTAACTCACAAACTAATCATTTGCATATCAATTACTCACTCTGTATTACATTGAATTCATGAAGGAAACTTTGTTTTTAATCGCATGGCTCCACAGCAGTGGTGTAGTGAAGGGTATACGTACACAGGTATATGGGGTAGACTCATCTCCTTTTTTGACCATTTGCAGTAAACCCACCTATCAGCCACTGAGCCATTGGAGTATATAGGAGAGTACACCAACTTCCTCCTCAGTAACCCACCCATCTACATAGTAGTACACCCACCTCATAAATCTACCACTGCTCCATGGTGAGTGAAGAATCCAAAAATTGAGAAAATTCTTGATGATTCATCGGGGTCATAGTCTTAAAAACAGCAGAACTATATCATAACATCTGTTTACAACCTATCACTCAACTCCTGCAGTATAATCCAAGTCTTGTTTAACCATGTCTTATGCTCAGTACTTCCTAAACACATTAGCAAAACCTTACTCCATGAAACACTTGCATAAGAGTAGCGCATCTGGCAAGCACATGCGCTTTAACTCTCACTGAGTTCCCCAGGCTACTACTTGCCTGTGTCTGAGACTCCTTCTGCAGAAGTGAGTTAAATACTAAGGTTTAAGGAATAACGCATGTATTTGGGACGTTCCGAGCATACAACTGAATAAATGAGACTTGGGTTCTACTGCACAAGTTGTGTAAGACTTGGTAAACAGATGTTTTGATATAGTTGTTAAATACAGCCCCCTTTTACTGCAGTTTATCAAAAACTTTCATAATTTTTTGGATTCTTCGTTCACCATGGAGGCATGCAAGAAAAAACAGGTTTTCTTCACAAATTCAACACGACACAGAGCGAGTTATTAATACAGGCTACAAATGATCCTTTTGGAAACTCATTTTGGGCGCTTGTATCCACAATCTCATTCTTTCGGTCACTACCCACACCTCATGACCATAGGTGAGGGCTGGGACATAGATGGACCAGTAAACTGAAAGCTTCGCCTTCAAAATAGGGTAGAGGAGATAGGGTAAGGAGCCCGGACATACGGAGGGAGCTCAGAGTAGAGCCGCTGCTCCTTCGCGTGAAAAGGGGTCAGCTGAGGTGGTTCGGGCATCTGATCAGGATGCCTCCTGGACGCCTCCTGCTGGAGGTGTTTCAGGCACATCCCACTGGTAGGAGGCCCCAGGGCAGACCCAGAACACGCTGGAGGGATTACACATCTCATCTTGCCTGGGAACACCTTGGGGTCCCCCAGGAGGAGCTGGAAAGAGTTGCTGGGGAGAAGGACGTCTGGGGTGCTTTGCTTGGCCTGCTGCCCCCATGACCTGGCCCCAGATAAGTGGATGAAAATAGATGGATGAATGGATGCTCATTTTGTGGGTGAAGTATGCCTTTAACAAAACGCATTAATGGGGAGTCCAGGTTACATTAACTGAGCAGATACTTAGGTGCATATAAAGGTGAAACCACACATGCATGCAACACAGTACATGATGTAACCTCCTGTGAATTAATATAATTATACACAAACAGTGGTGGACGAATAATTCAGATTATTAACTTAAATATAAGTCGTAAAACTTCAATGTAGAAATACTCCATTATAGTCCTGCATTCAAACTTCAGGACCCTTGATTTAGACAATCCAACTTCTTGTTGTGGTAAAGCATCTCTTAATTTTACATAACGACAGTATATGCTTAAATGTACTTGGTTACTTTCCAACATCAATGTAGGCTACATGTGCTCACACACACACGCACAAACACAATCAGATACACTTCATTACCTGCTGCATATGTCTCTGTAAGCTTTGCGTCATGTGTGCCAGAGTACACACAGAGACAGAGTGCATATAGAGACACATACAGTCTGTTCATCTCTTTTATCTACAGGCTGTTATAGTTGTTTCGTCATGAATTCAGCCCCATACACATTACACCTGCTGCATTTCTTTTTTTTGTGTACCAGCATTTACTTATATTTTTTCCTATTAAATAAACAAATATAGTATACATATAGTAGTTTTTGGCAGCTTAGAGTAGTGAGTGCCAAATGTTTAAAGATATTGTAGATGCCAGCTGTACGATACATTCTGAGAAATAAAGATGTAAAAATATTAACAATAAAATGATTCAGTAATTGTCATCATTGTCCTGTTGCCACACAACACAACAAAAGCCAGCCAAGTGAGCCCCATATAAGGTGTCCATTTTGGGCCCATCACAGTTGCTACCTAGGTAGTGGAGCCCACTTGGGTAAACCCATCCACGTAGGCACTTGGGTTAATGTGGAACCCATGGACAATACCATATAGGGCCCATTTTTCAGCCCATTTTGTACCCACATAAAAATGTTGGCTGGGATATGTAACGAGAGGGTTTCCAAAATGGTCACTAATCAAGATACCTTTCATTCTTTTTAACTTAGATAAGAACAAAACTTCAGTTTCCCATGCGACTGGTGTACATTGTTAAGATTTGTAGATACATATAGATACACACACATTGCATTTACCTTATCAGATTGCCTGTCGAATTAACCATAATCACAATGTACCTTTATTCAAGTCTTACTCCTTATATTCAATGGTTTACCTTAAAGCAACCTTCTTTCATCCCCTGAAGAAAACTATTCTGGTCTCTATAATTTCATCACATACACACACACTCATACACAAAAGTAAAACCAGTTACTGTAAGCTTGAGCATGCACAGTACCGCCTGCTGTAACCTTTCTCTGGGTTAGTAATATAACTCCTCGTCAGGGTGTTAGCCCAGCACTAGCAGGGGAGTAACAGGCAAGATTGATGTTATTTGTCTCCTCACACATGCTTAGATAGAGGTCACATCTTACTGATGTAAGACAAGACAGACATAACCAAATTCACTCAGCGGTTTCTTCCAGGGCTGCGGCGTGTGTGTGAGAGAGAGAAAGCTCTCATATGAACTCGTTTGAGAGTCTGACCTCATTTCAGATATGAAGATACAGATTCATTTCAGGCTGCACACAAACAGATGGACAGGCAGGCAGATGGACGGACAGATATCGGCTATAAAGTGGGTATTTGAAACTCTGTGAAGCATATGATGGTGTGGGCACGCACGGAGGGCCTCCTCTTATTTTTAGGATGTTTTATGCATCGTATTTGTGACAGAATTATACGATAAACTGTGATAGGTGTGCAGACTCTGTTGTAACAGGACTCCTGCATTAACCAAAAAAAACGTAAAGTCATGAAAGGAATCATGCTGATATAAATATTTGTGTGCTTTGTACAGAGAAACGAACCAGACTGAAGTCCTTTTCTTTGCAAAAACAGATGGCTCGCGTTAAGACCCATCACATAATCGACCTCCCCGTTCCTGGAAGCCAGTAGGCTCTGCTAGCTGTCAGGGAAAATAACCATAACACTGTTGTCAGTCTAGCCGATCAGCTTGCCTGATGGAAGTGAAGTCCCTTTTAGGGCAACGGCAGCCCCTGGTACGGCAACGCCATGTAGGCCACATCCCTTCCCCTTGCATGTCCCCCCATACTTGACATTTGATGTTTTCTGTAGCTATGTGTCCTTCTGAAGGCCTGGGGTCAGTTGTAGCTCTTGGATACCTGATGTCACTCTTCCGCATGGTTTGTCAGTCAGCTCTGACAGTGCAATGTTTGTCAAATGGGGCTGAGAAAGGGGGGAAGGGTCGCCATGATTAAGTCTCAAATAATGTCCTCTCTGTGCACTGCGAGTCGCAGATCATTATACGAGGACAAAGCATTTATGGAAGCCTCATTCTGTGTTTGTGTTACAGCTTTTAGTGCTTATTCATAATGACGTTTACCTTTAAGTAAAAGATTTAGTTTCGTCCTCTCTGCCTGTCCATTTGCTTGCATGCATTCAAAATTCAGCTTCCAGTTTAGATGAATTATGAGGGAAATTCAGACGTTTCCTCCCATTATTTACTTAAGCCGATGAAGCTGAAGACAGGCCGTACAGTGCCTCCTC